AGAGAGAGAGAGAGAGAGAGAGAGAGAGAGAGAGAGAGAGAGAGAGAGAGAGAGAGAGAGAGAGAGAGAGAGAGAGAGAGAGAGAGAGAAGGGCTGATGGATGTCAAAGTTAAAACGTCGTTTGAAACATAAGTTCCTTTCGAAACTTTTGATTGCTCTTTTTCGGAAGTTTTTCCTTCATTGTTGACCGACTGTTGGCATTCCCGAAAAATTCCCACTGATTGCTGAAGTTGTAAAACAACAGGAGGAGAAGATAGGAAAGCAGGAGACGAGCACCAGTGGCTAATGACTCGTTGTGCAGGCCGCCGCCCCGTAAGCTGCTGAGACTGAGTTGATCCCATGGCCTCTGAGTGTAGCTCAGGCTTTTCGCACAACGCTGTGGTGAAGGTGCACAAGCAAAGCACAACAGAGAAAGGAAATCGGAGATTCACAAAGAATAACAAACAAACACACTGGTCTGATAAAAAAGAAATTGTTTGATGAACGCACGCATGCTTCAGCAACACTGAACAAATTCATTGGCAGCTATAGCTGTCCTCCTCATCTACATCTGAGGTTTCTGCTCGTCGATTAGAAGCTTGGCTATGGTGCCAATAACTTCGCGATCAACAGAAGAGTCGGTATCAGCCTGCAAAAAGGCGACAGAGTGCCACAGACGATAGCAACAGATAACAAACAAAAATTAGGGCAACGAGTCCTACACATGGACACTTTGCATCACAGCACTTTCATTTCCTGTCTTCTCCGAACTGATCTGCACACTTTCTTTTTCTCCTTTTTTTTGAAGATAGGGGGTTGCCTATAGCCTTACCGTATTCAAAAGGATTCGAACCCCTGATCTGTTTATCAACAGTCCTAGATGTGAACCATTAAGCCACCACGCAGATACCTGCAGCATTTTCCCATTTTTCCTCTGCCTGCTTTTGAAATTTGAACTGGTGGAAAAGTGGAAGGGAATAGAGGGTGGCATCTAAGTCGATCCAACAGGATTCGGAACCTTGATGGTTTTTTTTTTTTTTTTTTTTTCCGAAACTCCGAGCCTCTTTGTGTGGGCTCACACGGGTGTGAAGACGAACTGAGTCACCAACTGAGTGAAGTGGGGTGTGAAGACGAAATGAGTCACCGACTGACCTTGAGTGAAGTGGTGCCGAACGCGCCCTGACTCACTCTTTTTTTTTTTTTTTTTTTGGGAGAAATGCTCCAATCTATTCGTGGCGAGCAGCACATGCTGGAAACCGGGTCCAGCATCCCATAAGGACATTTACACTTCAACAGGGATTTTTTTTTGAGAAAAGTTAAGAGGACCTCCCCCTGCCAGCATTTGATTACCCTGGAATCCAAGGGGTTAACTGAGCAGGGAACGTCCTTTGATGGTAATGAAAATGAAAAGGACTATGCTATGACAGCAAATCTGCCTGATCCTAGAACATACCGACTAGTAGAACAATCCTATGTTGCACGCCCGGCCGCGATTGGGGGGTGGAAGTCGGCCGCGGCCTCGGCCGAATCGGCCAGGTTCGGCCACGGCCGACCAGCCGAGTTTGGTGGAGGATTTTTTTTTTTTCTAACGCATGAAAAAATATATATATATGGGCGTGTAGGGCTAAAAAAACCCTACACACCCATATTTTTTGGGGGGGCATTGTTGTTTTCTATTGCGTAACAAAAAATAAAAACAGAAAAAAGAAAAAGAAAAAAAAAAAAAACGCTTCGAAACCCCGTGCAAGTATGTGTGTGTGTGTGTGA